CGTGGCTGGGTGATCAGCTGGATTCATCGGGGGAATTCAAGGTAACCCCTTTTAAAACTTTTGGGGGAAGAAAGCTTGGGGAAGGCATCTTTGTCTCCGTTGCTGGAGCCCTCGTGATAGGTGGGAATGCAGCACTGCGTATGGGCATCTCACTCTTTTTTATTTTGTTAGCAATTAATGACATCTGGGATTATTTTTTTTTTTTTCCCCTATTCACCAAGATTTGGAGATTTGGCATTTGCTGCCAAAACTCCCAGCTCTTTACCTCATCCATAGGATCTCAAGCACTTGGAAGTACAAAATTATTCCCATGTGGGATTCTTTTTTCCGCTCTCAACCCTAGTGTTTCAGAACAGTAATAAGCAGACCAAGCAAGTATCTGAAAATACCGGTACAAAGTGCTTGGGTTTCTGAGTGGGAGGACACACGCTACTTCTTCCTGGATCAACGTGAGTGCTCACCTTGAATCCTTTAGTAGCAAGGAGGAGAATGAAGAGCCTTGAACATGCATTGCCTCAAGCACCAATTTGGTTTGAAATTAAGGATCAGAGTGACCTGGGACCCAGGCAGCCAGGAGGCATGTCCCCAGGTGTGCCCCCAGCTGATGGCCCAGGGTACTTCCAGCTGTGGTCAAAAACTCCACGTACAGATCCAACTTGAAAAACCCAGAAGAGAGCAGAGAGTTTGGGGGACCCGTAGATGTTATTGTCACCGAGAAATGTGACAGCCTTAAAATTGCTCAGAGAAATCAGTGGCTGGTTGGGGCTGGGTGCGCGTCAGGAATGGTCTCTGTTCCTCCTGGCTTGTGCGGTGTCACGAGTGGGAAGAGCAGATGGGTGGCAAGATCCGAGGGACGTCTTTGATCAGCTGCTCACACTCACAAGTGAGATACCTGTTCCCAGGGAACATACTGGTGCCGTGTTCTCTCCGAGCTCATTGCTCTGTGTGTATATGAGGGGTTTGGGGTTTTTTTTCTTCATTCAGCAAGTGAAGCAGTCTGCCGCTGGAGTTTTTCCCCCTCCTCCCCTCCCATCTGCCGGCTGAGCCACTCATGGGATGTTCCCTCGCCTATGTCAGCGTGAAAATGAGCAAAGACCGACCGCGTAACCTGTTTCAGCTCATTAGAGCCAACGTGGGTGCGGGAAGCAGACGAGCGATTCAGCTGGCAGGACGGAGAAGCCGCAATCTCTTTGCCTGGCACAGCTGGAGCCAGCAGCAGACAGATGTGCAGAGCCCAGCCCTGTTCTGCACGGCGCTGCGGGGACGCGCCGTGAGAGGTGGCCCCCTGCCCTCAAGAATTTCTTATCTAAGTGGCAGAGATGCGCGCCGAGGAGAGGTGACAGTGACAGATGCAGGAAGCAAACCCCGGTCTCTTTGCTCCCTGGCTCGAGGCCTAATCGCTGCACTCTGCTGCTGCTGCTATTTGTAAAACGTCTCGAGATGCTCGGGCGGAGGGCATTACCCATACGGAAAGAGCCTGCGAATGCTAATGGAGGAGGCTGTTAGTGGGGTGGACTTGCGGTTGGCTGCAGCTTGGAAAATGGCCTCAAGGGTAAATGCGCTCAGCGTGCATTTGCGAGCTGCGCTTCTAGTTTTGTGTTTTTAATTCAGCTCCCAGAGCAGAGCTGGGTCGCCCACCCTTGCCTGTAGGAGCTGTAGTGAGCTGGTCCGGGATCGGGCAGCCCAGGCTGGACAAGCTGCTTCCTTCCCATCCTGCCCGGGCTCCCGTTACTGCCGACTCAAGTTAAACATCTCAACGCATGGTACTGCTGCGCTGCAAACTCCTCGTTTGCTTTACCCATCGCCCTGCAACCAGCCCTCCCGCAGCGGGCAGCGATTTCGCTCTGCCGAAGTATCCACTGAGGACTTTATCGATTTATTTGAGGTTGTTTTTTTTTTTACTGGCGCTTTTAGACCACATTTTCACCCAGCCTTCTCATCCAAAAGTACACCCTAGCTGCGTATTTTCCTTTGGTTTTCAGCCCGTCGCCCTGCGAAAGGCGGCAGACGCGGATTGGGAGAGGATGGAGGCAGGTCGCTGGTGGGGGGATCCGATAAGGGGACCACGAGAAAGGTGAAAGCGGTCCGTGCTCCTGCGTGGCCGTGCGGTGAGCTCGGCGCTTTGCAATCTGCCGGAGCTGTGATGAGGGAGGCAGGGAAAGCTGCTCTTAACAATAATACCCGGTAGGTGGGCTGGGGGTAACGGGTAACTCCTTGAGTGCTTCCAGGCAGCGCCGCACCGGCTGCAGCGTGGCAGCACTTTAGCTGGATGCGGGCAGGACCGGTGCCAGGGATGTCCCAGTCTGCGCAGCATCAGCCCACGAGGGCCAAAGAGAAACAACGCAGCCCTTCCTAGAAATGCGCTCTGGAGCTTAAAAGATGGACTTAATTGAAAAAATGTATCGAGGTTGTACCAGGGGATAAAAGGGAAAGCTGGGCCGAGATTAACGTGGAGCTCGGCAAGCCGAGAAGCGTGGCAGCCGTGGCCAGGTCCCTAAGCCAATTCCCAGCCACGGCCTCCCAGCCGCCCGCTGAATCCATGCCCGGCAGGGAGGCGGTTTGCTCTGGCTGCAGGTCTGGCAGGAGAGCCCGGCACGCTCTGGTTTTGTGCTTCAGGTACGTGCTTGCTTTCCCCTTTGCTTCCTACCCACCGCCGCAGCAGCTCCTGGCTTGCTCGTGAGGGCTGCTGCCACGGCTCCATGGATTTTCTTCGGGGGGGTGTTTTCTGCCTGCACGGTTCCCGCCGGTTATTCCGTCTGCCGGTCCTGCCAAGACCCTGTGCTTGGGAAATGCTGGAGCTGCTCCAGTTTCCCCAGAGCCTACATCTTCAGCTGCTTCCTCGTGACATCCTCCTCCCTTCCCACGCCTGGCATCCCCTCCGGGTACCGCTCGCCCGCCCTGGATGGCTGCAAGCCTCCCCCCGGCACGGGGCTCTGGAATGGAG